TCCTATGGGTTATAATTTGACTAGCATGGACCATATATATTGGATTGGTTCAGCTAGATGTTATTTATAGTTGCTTAGCCGTGCTTAGAAACATTAGCTCATTAATGGGATAAATCATGCTTCACTATCACTTATGGATATTTAATGGAAGCTCACGATGGTCAATCGTGATTGGTTAATTAATTAATTTGCCAAATAAAACTTGATAAAGGTGGGTTGTGAGCACATGGTTTTGATGGTCGTGCTCATGACAATTAAGGACCGGTTCACGAGTTTCGGTTGTGAAACATTAACCGTGCCAACCACAAGCCAGCATGGGCAACGGCTTTACCTTTTGTATAGCATGGATCATTGCGGGGCACCAGATTGAGAAGTGGCGGAGATAAGCCCACGGGGGTCGCTGGGGAGTCCATGCCTTGTTTATAAGGGAGTGATTATGATCCAGGAATGGTGCGCTGTGGTGGATTGTGTTGTGCGAAGGGTACTGTCACGATTTCCCCCTTTGTAGTGCCGTGGTGGTACTTCGGGGCATGGTAACATGTGCGGGATCGTGTCTTGTAGGTACAGTGGTACACCTCTGGCCAGAGTAAAACTATTCGAATAGCCGTGCCCGCGGTTATGGGCGGGTCTAACAATGTCTTTCGTGATTAGTTTCACACTTCTCACCATAATAAAAGATGCTATAACTGGTAATAATTTGATTAGCTCCTGGTTTGGAATGGTATATTCCTGGTTTGGAGATAGAACTGTGCAGCCGGGATGGTTGTTCAGAATGGTTGGGCCTATGCAACAGGGTATGTTGTATAGCGTTGGATTAATATTGTTTAATTATTACTTAACTGTTTTATTAAATTCTGAAATGTTTATTAAATGCTGTTTATGCAAATGAAACCCTACTATGCCATCCTTTGTTATCCTGTGCACTTGCATATTTGCTGCGTGGCTTGCTGAGTATGTCATATACTCACCTTGCAATCATTAATCAGAGGAAGAGTTCTACAGTGATGCTGATGGTGTAGAGGATTAGGTGTAGCCCTGGTCAAGCTGCCTGTGGAGTGGAGTCGTCTGCGCCGTTTATCTTATTTTTCCGCTGCTTAGATCTTTATTGATTGAGAGGAACTATCTACCTCTGTAATGACATTTTATTCGCTTATTAATTAGAGTAATAATTGTACTCTATTATCAATTTGTTATTGTGTGCCTCAGCTGATTCCTGGACGAGGGTTCACACACATGTAAACGTTTGGAATTTTGGATAGAAATTCCGGGCGTGACATATGTCGAGTTCCTGCTCGAGTTGCAGCTCTCAAGCGTCAGCTTCAAGGAGACGCCGGCCCTCAGCCAACATCTCGGCGCCTGTCTGTGGGGCAGCCAGCGCTGGAGGAGGCGAAGGCGGAAGGGTGACAGGTGGAGGGGCGCGGGCTGCGACGACCACTGGCGCCACGCTTGTTGCGACATTGTCCTCTCTGTGTGCGGAGGACGCCGGAGAAGCCCTATGAAGACAAATATACAAGTTATCAGAAAGACCAAGTCACGACAACACGAAAACCGAGAACATAGAGTCAGGACATTCCGCTTACTTGCTCGCGACTTTCTTCAGCAGCCTAAAAAATCAGTCAACGCCTTGATTGTCTAGATATTATGTTTCTTTTCATACTTAGTGTTGCATCAGTTAAGTTTGATCTACTAAGTCGTGTTTAGAACCATAACCCCTAGCCTGCTTTTTGACTGCCAATAAGGGTTTCATCGAGGTTTCAGCCGATGAGTTATTTGGACATTGCATTGGCTTATAAGGATTGCATATAAGTTGGATTTAGCCGATTGCAACAATGATTTTACTGTTTAATCTAATCTTGTGGATTTTATGACATCGGATCTCCAGTCGATATATTATTTAACCTTCGGATCAGTGCTTATTCTATCATATCATTGTTAGCCGATTGGTTTCTACTGGATTATATTATTGCTTTCTTGCATTATCATCAGCCGATTGCCTTTGTTATTTATATCAAGTATCAGATTCTACATCAAACACATAGCCGATAGCTTAAAACCCTATCTCTATCGGCTGGTATCGGCATCTGCTGGAATCATTCCATCGGCTTGACAGCCGATCGGCTTATTGATCTGATGTTTACATATCTTGTCAGTTGCAGGATCAAACTGACTGGCACGCCCGCATCTCAATAACCTTTGGACCTGCACTGGAGCTAAGCAGATCTCCCAGGCCGGTGTGTGTTTTTCGCATCAACACAATGGAACCCTATCAAACCACTCAAGATATGGCAGCCGATACACATGGATCTGTTCCTTAGGTCTAAGTCCAAACTGCTCCTCTACTAACTTCGCAATTCTATCGGCCCAATCTTCTATATTCTGATGTGTTTTATATTCTTCTGGCCGATATTGTTGATGTAGCTCGTCATGCTGACACTGATGTGCTTGCCCCCCCAAGCCGATACTGTTCTTGTTCTTCAGTCTGCCCCCTGAGCTGGCTTTTCTGATTAATTAATTCATCAACTGTTACCTTGATCAAATTTTGTAATGTATCCGTGAAAACTCTAGATTGATTAAACAATGCGAGATGAACCGCTTCATCAACTGTATCTTGAAGTATTTCAACTATCGGCTTGGGGAATTGAGTCTTCTGAATTGGCCCTTCTTGTGTCATGATGAAACATTGAAGACAACGCATTTGAAAATCAGCTACAAACTGCTCCATCTATTGCCTCTGTTCCTCCATTAAATTCTCCACTGTGACCATGATATTGGCATTGACTTCTTAAGACATGTAGGTATAAAATTCGTGGTTCTACCGGGCGTACCAAAAAGCGTGTTGATGTGAAAAACACACACTGGCCTGGGAGATCTACTTAGCTCTAGTGCAGATCCAAAATATTGATGAGATACGGGCGTGCCAGTCAGTTTGATCCTGCAAACTGACAAGATATGTAAACAGCAGATCAATGAGCCGATCGGCTGACAAGCCGATGGAGTAATTCCAGTCGATGCCGATACCAGTCGATAGCAATAGAGTTTTGAGCTATCGGCTATAATTCCGATGTAGATTCTGACGCTTGATGTAAATAACAATGTCGAGGCAATCGACTGATGATAATATAATATAACAATAATATAATCCAGTATAGACCAATCGGCTAACAATGATATGATAAAATAAGTATTGATCCGAAGGTTAAAGCAGACATCGACTGGAGGTCCGATGTCATAAAATCCACAAGATTAGATAAATCAATGAAATCTTTGTTGTCATCGGCTAAATCAATGAAACCAGAGCGATCCAAGAGATCGAAGCGATGCAGCCGTGAACAACAGCAATGTAGCCGATAGATTCACCAGGTCCAGCGGAACGTAGTACTTACCCCTTCGCCGGAGATCAAACTGAACCGATGCAGCCCTCTGTCAGGTGTCAAGTTCCACCGGATGATAAGTAAAAACCTCGGTAAAGAGGGTGGCGATGCACCGAGAGTAGTTGTATTGATCGAGAGATAGTTTACAATGACCCATGGGGAGATACTAAACATAAAGTCATTATTTGACACTAAACACACTTTCCTAAAGATAAAAGGAAACTAACAAACTCTTCCTAATTAATAGATAACTTGCCATGCCGCATCGTCCTTGAACTCGGTAACTTCTGGATAAGCTTCCTTTAATAGATTAATTTCCTTAACCGAATATAGCAGGAATCCAACTATTGGCGATGTGATAATTCTCTTAAGGGCTTACCAAATTTCACTGTTAACATAAGCGTAGTCGTGAATGACAACGTGAACTCATTTAAGTTGAAGTCGGGGCTACTGTCATGGTTACGGATAAGGCATATCTCCTATCCTATGACTTATGTAATATGCGGATACGGTACACCATCGAAGATATGATCTATTTCCGTATACGATAAAGGAAATCACAAGATAATATGGAAAATATCCTTATAGGCAAGTGACTAATGACGTCTTACTTGGAAAGGGTTGGGTTTCTTCTATATCGCGTGTAGTCCGATGTCCCCGAGTTCTACTTGGAGACTAAGTTGATCCACGGTATAAAAGGCGTACCCCCTGGAGGGTTCAAGGCATCGAATCTCACCGGCAGCATACCCACCATAGTCTACGAAGCCGGAGCACGTGAAGCCAACTTGCCGGGAGATCTTGTCTAATCCCACGACTACGATCTCGCCGGTATCATCGGATTCATCTACTCTTATTGTACTATATAGTTTTCCATATCAATATTATATAAACTGTACTAGGGCTATACCTGATAAGGGGCCTGAACTAGCACAATCCTTATTATAATCCTTGTCTTCTTGTTTGCTAGATGCCATATCGCATAGATCCTCGTACCAATGTACCCCAATACCCTATTTATCCGGTCTACGGGTATCTCCCCTCAATAGTGCTGACAATGGATCAGGTCATACGTGTACGGAACTGGGCTGGTACTCAGTTATTTTCTGCTCCGTCATTCGTCTTCAATCTGTTCACCCAGGAAACTCGTCGATCTATAAATGCTCTGTTCACACCGCTGCTGGTGGATATGGACCAGATGCGCAAAGCTATGGTTGTGCCAATCGGCGTTGTAGTTTCTTCCGTGAATCGAGAGAAGTAGCGCATTATGTGGTGATCTTATCGCGTAGCAAGCCATAGTTTCGCTATCTCGGCCGGTTGCCAAGAGGCCGACCTATGTTGTTGGGTTTAGATAGGCTATGCCATTCTGTGGAATGTTATGCCATGAGTGGTTCCATACATTATTCAGCAAAAACCAAATGTCCAACAAGAGAAAAACAGAGATGTTACTTAATGCAAAGGCCATAGGTATACCAAATTTTTATTTTATCTAACTAGCAAAATATTCATGCGTTACAATGGGCAAAGCCAACCGTGAATATAACATGTTATGGCAAAACGTACGTTGGAAAATAAAAGGTTGTTGTGTGATGAGGAAAATATAGAATGTAAGAGGATATTAAGCATAGAAAATAGGTCCGGACATATCTGTTTTAGCACAAATGAATCGGAATTTTTCGGTTTTGGACCATAGCATGTACAGTCAGCAAAGTGTTGACAATTCCATGCCAAAGCATGTTTTACCACCTTTACATGTTCGGATCACCATATTACGCTATCATGGGAATTGGTACGTTCTCATTCCTTCCATGTTGAACAATCTCAGAGCGACATAGAAGCCAAATGTAGCTCAGACAAAAACTTTCTATAGGCTTGTGCAACTAAGTTTAATGCTTATACATGGCAGATGCCCTTATCTTGCAAATTCAATGCCCATAGATGTCTTCCTGCTGTCATACTCCATTGTTTTAACAGGAGAATAACACGGCTCTGAGATGCTACCACTTGAGTTTCCCAATAATCTGAGTGAGCGAATACCCTGAAGTGTGCCAGTGTGTTGTTGTGACGCCGTATCTGCCAATTGCCGAAGTATGTCTGCCACATGGCTCATTGCTGGCCTGTTCTCACTGTCCATAACTAAGCACTGGCTTGCTAGACATGCGAATTCGTATAGCAGTTCCATGTTATCCTCATGTAGTATTTCTTTATCTATGTGATGATCAATGTTTCCCTTCTTCATAGCATCTTGGAAGAGAGAGGCGAGGCTCACCTCATTGGATAGAGGCTTCCTACGTGTCAAGAGCTCTAGAAGAAGAATGCCAAAGCTGTAGACATCACTCTTATCAGTCAACTGGAACGTCATGAGGTATTCTGGATCTAGATAACCAATTGTTCCCTTCACTACATTAATATTTTCATCAGCCGCTGCCCTAAATATTGAGCACCCAAAATCAGAAACTTTTGCAGTAAATTTGTCACCAATAAGTATGTTGGCAGATTTCACATCCCCATGAAAAATAGGATGATCAAGTGAATGTAGGTATGCAAGTGCTTCAGCAGACTGGGCAGCGATTTCCAGTCGGATATCTAGTGTTCTAGTGGATGCATCGCTTTGGCCATGAATCAAATAGTGTAGGGTCTTATTCGGCACAAATTCATATACTAGAACAGGAACTTCAAACTGCAGACAACAACCAAGAAGTTTGACAATGTACTCATGTCTCACTCGGGAGAGTATGAGCAACTCTTGTCCGAATTCCATCCTCCTATTCGCATCGATTCCCTTGCATCTCTTTATTGCCACAGGATTGTTTTCTGGATCTAGATCAAAACCTTTGTAAACAGTACCCTGACCGCCCTGACCGAGGATTGCGCTCTCCCTGAAGTTGTTTGTTGCTAACTCAATTTCTTCTCTGTCATACAACTTAAATGAAACTTGATTCTCTAATTTCATCATATCAAGTAATAATTGGCCTCCATGTTGACGAAAATATGCATCCCTTTTATTCATGAGATCTTGTCTAACCAATCGACGTTTATACTTGATCCATTCTATGCCAAGGAAAATTAGAAGGCCAACAACCGTTGAGGAACAAATTCCTGATTTTTTTAGATCAAATTAGTAAATTAAGTAAGCATCTTCATATATATACAAACACACAAAACATAATTGTAATGCATTTATACCTATAGCCAACAGTACTCCATGTGTTAGCACTTTCTGACACTGTCCAACTGAGGCATTGCCTCGGGTACCCGCAGGACAAATACATTCGAACCCACCAAGAGTATTACGACAAATCCCGTGGCAATTGTTATTCATGTTCTGATCCGTGCACTCATCAATATCTACAATTAGTCATTAAACAGAGAGAGAGAGAGAGTTTAAGTGAAAAATATATCATAGCAAATATAGAAACCAAAACAAACATGTATAGACTAACACTTTCATGGTAGCAGTTACTCCCTGTAGCCCTAAATAAGTGTAGTTTTAGCCACTTAAGAGAACCACATGAAAAAATATGCTCATCTTTTCATGCCGTGGTCTGTCTGCATAAATAGATTTTTAGACCGCATATGAAAATGAGCCTCGATTTTTAAAGGCACGATCATTTATGGTCCGCCTACAACTTATATAGGTCCTCTTATAGAAAAATAATTATCTAGTAGTTGTTAACAAACAAATTTGGTAGCATCTATGTCAAGAAAGAGGATTTGATCAAAGCGGAGTTGGAGGCGGAGATCAAGTTCGGAAACAAAGACGGCTGGAGTTCAGATCGGCTACGGTTAGGATCGGCTGAGTCTGAGTCGAGCTAAATAAGCCGATATAGCCGATTCCAACAATACGACTTGTGCGCGACATCGGGTCCAAGTTAGTGTACTGTCAACAGTAGTGAAAGGTATATTAGTCTTTTAACCTTTTTCTTAATATGTGTTTGACTAGTTCAAACTGCACTTCTTTAGAGTAGGAGGAAGCAGTACTACTAAAAACAAAGATATATATATATATATATATATATATATATATATATATATATATATATATATATATATATATATATATATATATATATATATATATATATATATATATATATATATATATATATATATATATATATATATATATCGACATTCTCTTCACAAGAGATCCAAACTAATGCCTGATTCAGTTTCCCAAAAATTTTTCCCAAAAACATCACATCGAATCTTTGGACACATGCATGAACCATTAAATAAGATTAAAAGAAAAACTAATTGCACAATTAGGGGGGAAATCGCGAGACGAATCTTTTGAGCCTAATTAGTCTATGATTATCCATAAGTGCTACAGTAACCCACATATCCTAATAACGGATTAATTAGGCTCAAAAGATTTGTCTCGCGGTTTCCAGGCGAGTTATGAAATTAGTTTTTTTATTTATGTCCGAAACCTTTTCCGATATCCAGTCAAATATCCGATGTGACACCAACAAATTTTCTTTTCGCTAACTAAATAGGCCCTAATTGGGTGAACGAGACAATGGAACTTTTTTTGAAAGGTCCGTTTAATTTGAACCAAATCAAATAGATTGTGCGTCTACAATGTGTAGCTAAATAATACTATGTAAAATCTATTTAGAGAGGTATCTCAATTTTGCCTTAACTAGCGACGCCAACATAGAGAAACGTGGAGAAGTCCAGCTATTACATGGTAATACATGCATGCATTTTTTTTAATATACATGTACGTCCTTTTCCTCTTCAAACAAAGTTTTCTCTCAAATTACTTATCCGATCTACAATCTGATTACACCATTGTGTTCGTTACAATTAAATCTTCACAACAATATCTTACATGATTATATTACGATGAAAAAATATTTATATTTGTAAATTACTTTTATTATATATGTAAGTTACTTTTATCATATATATAAGTTACTTTTAGAGTTGACTAAATTACTTCTTAGACATATAAAAGTAAATTTAATAGAGTCTAAAAGTAATTTAAATATATTATAAAAGTAACTTAAAACAAAACGGAAGTAATTTTGTCACGACATTAGAAGTAAATTCGTCGTAGGGATAAAAATATGACTTTATCTAGAAATTAAATTTAATCAGCACAGATCAACACACATAAGTTTAATATTTTTTAAAAGTAATTTCAATGTTAATTGGAAGTAACTTTTGCATGGTTCAAAAGTAGCTCTCTATAAATCTGTTTAATCATTGATTGTCTTTTTCTTTCATTTTTGTTTTTCATATAGAATGAGAAAAGAAGATACTATCGTATTTTTCAAGTTGAAAGGAGATACTAGATGGAGTACAAACTAGCTATCACTAGCTGTGTAGTCACATCCAATTAAAAAAGACATTCATTAAAGTTACTTTCTTTTGGTTATAAGTTACTTCTATAATATATGCAAATTACTTTTAGGCTTCATTGAATTTACTTTTACATGTATAAGAAGTAATTTAGTGAAATTTGAAAGTAATTTAGATATATTATAAAAGTAATTTATAATTTTTTATCAAAATATAATCATGTGTGATCTTGTTTTAAAGATTTAATTGTTACAAACATAATGGTGCAATCGGATCATAAATCGGATGAGTAGTTTAATAGAAAATTGTATTTGAAATATAGGTTGATAATGTCTCTCATAGATGAACTGGTAGCTGGTTTAGACAAACTAGTTACCACTAGCTGTGTAGTCACGTCCATAATACTAAGGTGTCCTTTTAACAAAATCAAATACTACAAATAAGAAACACCATAAGTCTAAATTAATTAATTGCTCTGATCCTCAATTAAAACCTAATAATACTCTGTTTGTTGTTTGATTATTACCTAATTAATCCTATGTTACTGTCCAAACTAACTAACACAGCAACTATTTTAATTCCTCAATCAAGAAAAGGGAACATTCACCTTGGCAACTGCTGGGATCTTCTGGGTGCAGGTAAGGATTTCCACGGAATCCCTTGGAACAATTGCAGATGTAGCCTAGCCCGCTTGGCGAGTCAAAGCACTCACTGTTTCTGCTCCTGCACGCATAGGACTCGGGACTCGCTCGCCTCGCCTGCTCGCAGGTCTCGTTTCCGATGGCCCAATCAAGCAGCAAGGGGACCTGCCCGTTGAAGGTGTCGTTGAACGCCGACGAGGTGACGTACGCCGGGGTGAACCTGAACCACGACGCCGACGACTTCTCCATGAGCGCCGCGTAGCTGCAGCGGCTCACGTTGTGGATGGCCGTCGTGTTGAAGCGGTCGTCGAACCAGACGTAGTAGTACTGGAGCCCCACGGGGATGGACGTCCGGCAGCATCCGATGCCGGAGCAGGCGCCGACGTCGTCGTCGGTGACGGTGAGGTTGCCGGCCTGCAGCCGGCACGTGGCCACGCACCCGGTGGTCAGGCTGCCGACGTCGGCGTCCACGTTGTCGCCGCCGATGTAGGCGAGCGTGCGGCACCCGATGGCGGTGAACACGTTGCCGGTGTGGGAGAACCTGTACGGCGACGAGGTGAAGTCGAGCGCCCAGGTGTTGTTTTCGGGACCGTCCATGGCGCCGGTGGCCGGGTTGTAGCAGTAGGAGGAGATGCTCATCAGGATCCTGGCCTGGCCTTCCGGCAGCAAGACGCCGAGCAGCTCGACGTCCCAGATGAAGGGCTTGTACACGCCGTTGCCGGTGTCGTTGCAGCTGATGTTGAAGCCGTAGGTGCCGTGGCCCAGGGCGCAGCCGGGGGCATCGCCGTTGAGGCCGAACGGGTAAGGGATGTCGACGTCGCCGCATCTTCTCCGGCAGGCCGGCGGCGGCTGTGGTTGCGCGACGGCGAAGGAGAGCCATGCCGTAGTTGCTACGGCGCCTAGGAGGCATAGCAGAGCCGTTTTCGTGTGGATCGTCATTATTCATCGGTACTTTGCTATTGAGGAATGGAAGGAAAATGGCTAGCTTGGTATTCCTGTATTCCAACACGAAGATATACTACTTCATCCGTCCCACAATATAAGAGATTTTGAGTTTTTTTTGCTTGCAACGTTTGACCACTCGTTTTATTTAATTTTTTTTTGTAAATATAAAAAACGAAAAGTTGTACTTAAAATACCGTAGATAATAAAGCAAGTCACAAATAAAATAAATAATAATTTCAAAAAATTTTGAATAAGACAAGTGGTCAAACGTTACAAGTAAAAACTCAAAATCCCTTATATTATGGGACGGAGGGAGTACCTCCGATCTATAAAGAATATAGTTTTACACTATTTATGTCCAACGTTTAATCGTCCGTCTTATTTGAACAGTTTTTTTATTACTTCCTCCGTTTCACAATGTAAGTCATTCTAGCATTTTATATATTCATGTTGATGTCTAGATTCATTAACATTAACATGAATGTGGAAAATGTTAGAATGACTTATATTGTGAAACAGAGGGAGTAGTATTTTTTTTGTTGTTATTAAATGATCAAACATAAATAGTACTTTCTATTTGACTAAATTTTTTATATATTTTTTCAAATAAAACGGAACGTTAAACATGGAAACCCATAACTGCATTTAAAATGATACGGACAGAGGTAGTATATGTATTCATGTGGTAGATTTATGGTTGTAGCAGCTGGTGCGACTTGCAGTGCTAGTACGACCGGTACGTAGTATCAATAATATGGTTTAGAATAAGTAATATTGGACACAGTCCAGTCTAGCGATTGAAAGGCCAGTGATTCGATTTTATATAATTCTGCAGTGGACTTGTTCTGCGTCTGCTTTGTACCTACTCCCTCCGTCCAAAAAGAGCATTCCAATACAAATTTAGTGAGGAGTAAAGATGATCAAAATGCTCCTCATTATCGAAAAAATTAGTAATGGTGATAGGTGGGTACAGGGTTTTCGAGAGATAAAACTTCTCGTTTTATATGCTAAGGGTAGGTAGGATGATAGAAATTGGTTTCTTTTGGGACAAAATTCAAACTCCAGAAGTTGAGTTTTTTTTGGACGGAGAGAGTAATATCTCCTGTAAAAGGATGAAACACATTGATCCATAATTGTCAAAGCATCGAAGCAAAATGTTCGAGTCTACGATCTGATTCGTGTTCACATAGTTGACTTTGCGTGAGCATTGTTGTACATTTTCTTCGACTAGGCATCGAAATCAACTGCCTGCAGTTTGTTCAATGAATGCAAAAAAGTATGAAAGGTATAGTTGGATGCCGTACGTTATATCAATAATATGGTTTACATACTACTATATATGGGGGAATAAGAACAAGGATGTATATTGCTAGTATAGTAGTATGTAATTATGCATTTCTACTCATTGCATGATCTAATCTACTTATATCATCTCATTGGGTGTTTTTGTCTATTTATCAGGACTTGCTATTTTCTACGTCAAACTTATATTGTTGCTAAATTTTTCTATAAACTTGATAAAACCTAAAAAGTTTGAAAAAAAAATCAAAACGGCTTATAATATATTATAAAATGAAGGAAGTACATACAAGCTTGAGCACCGTTAATTCCTAAAATCAAAGCAAACACAAGCTTAAGTTGAGAAAACGGAATGAAATTATAATATTACAAAATTAAGGTAAAATTAGAATTAAAATTGAAATTAGGGGTAAGAACTTCCATATACTGTGAATATAAGTGCACACTGACTAGCAAATATCACAAAAATGTCTATAAATAATTGGACATTTACTTCTAATAGTATTACACATATCTACAAAGTCTCATATTTAAATTCATTATATTTTAGCCGTAACAAAAAAAGTTAAAAAATCTGATAGTGTTAAGGATAAAAATCTGTCAGAATTTTATCTTTTTTTTACAGCTAAAACATAATGAATTTGAAGATAAGATTTCGCACGTAGGTGTAATATTATTAGAAGTATGCGTCTAATTTTTTTAAAATTTTGTATAACACTATAAAAAATGCCCATGCGTTGCAACGAGGAGGTTATTTGAATTACCTTATTATTATACGGTTTAGCTAAGGTGAAATTCACCGTGGAAATTTGCTTGGATTTGTTTTTTTATAAAATTATGAGCTAAAATTAAGAGTTTGATCGTCTCAAGTTACCATTTCTTATACGACTCCTTCTGTATTTAGAGAACGAACTTAAAACCATCTCAAGCATGGATTTGTATTTCCAAAAGCGAGTGAATTTAAAACCGACTCAAACACAGATGACATATCAAAGTACCAACAAAAACATCTTTAATTTTTATAATAGTAAAGATTTATATAAAAAATTTGAATAAAAAGAACGGTGAAAGAATCAACAGTGTCATATATTAAAAAACGAGGCAGTAAGAACCAAAAATATATTTTTTTCTCCATGTAAAGAATTCATCTGACGATTGCCCTATAAACAAAAACTCAAGTTGTCTAGATGGCAGGAAAACTAAATAATTTGTTCTATGCGTATCCATCTAATACACGATGAGTAGATCTTGTCGTTGCTGCTGGCAGGTGCATGCCTTGGTGGTTCGCCTCGCCACGACTGAACCATCGGCCTCAGGCCTTGGAGCGCACCCGGCCGCTTCCTAGCTGCTAATCAAAACGCAGCCTCAACCAACTGCGCTCGTCGACAGTCGAACAATCTGCAGGTGTGTACTTACGATACTCTTGCGTATAGTACTCCCTCCGTTTCAAAATATTTGATACCATTGACTTTTTGGCACATATTTAACCGTTCGTCTTATTCAAAAACTTTTGTGAAATATGTAAAATTATATGTCTACATAAAAATATATTTAACAATGAATCAAATTATAGGAAAATAATTAATAATTACTTAAATTTTTTTAATAAGACGAACGATTAAACGTGTGCTAAAAAGTCAACGGCGTCAAACATTTCGAAACAGAGGGAGTATATCTGTGTGTGTGTATATAGTTATAGTATATACATAGATCGGCGGGCTCTAATTCAGGCGATTCGGAACGTAAATGAACCGGATTTTGCACCACTGCGTGGAAACGTGATCTCATCCATCGTGCATCGTTGCGTAGCTTGTGAGAGCTGGGGAATCGGACAACGCCTGACTGAAACCAAATTGAACTTATAGGACTGCGGTTGAAAAAAAACCAGGAGAAAATGGAGGTGTGGGGAGGCCGTGTGGAAGTCGGGCGACTTACCAAAGCATGAGGCAAAAACATCTTCAATTTTTATAATAGTAAAGATTTACTAGTTGGTGTGTACGGAAAGCTTGTGTCACTACTGGAGAAACCATATTTTGTCGGTCGTCCAAAAAATACAATAGTCTCGGTTCGAATAGTAACCGGGACTAAAGATCATTTTTAGTCCTGGTTAAAAAAATTTTGATCTTTAGTCCCGGTTGGTGTTTTTAGTCCCGGTTCAAAGAAGTTACCAGATCTAGTTAGGCCCCAATTAACTTTAGATATACCCCAACCGGGAACAACAAAAATCCTCCCGAGCCGCGCGCGCGCCAAGTCCGAGACTTATCGATCCCCTCCCCTTCCTCTCTCCCTGTTTAATATCGGCCTTATCCTTCTCATCTCGATCCAACAACCAAGCGCATGCACTTCCCCTCTCCTCTCCTCTTCCTCCCCCTTCCTCTCTCCTGCCCCTCCCCACGAAGTTCTCTACTAGTACTCTTGCTCTCTGGGTCGGCGGCAGCTGGGAGGGCGTGGCGGCGGCGGCCGCCAGGCGGGCACGGTGGCGGCTGGGTGGGAGCGGCGGCGGCCGGGAGGGCGCGGCGGCGGCGGCCGCCGGGCGGGCGCAGTGGCGGCTGGCGGGTGGGAGTGGCGGCATATGCATGCATGGAGGCCGACCGGAGATTTGTCCTTTTTTTTTAAGAATTTGTGATTCATTGTATTGATTGAGATGAAGAATTTGTGATTCATTTGATGGATTGAGATGTATAATTTCTTTTTTTTAGAATCTGCCATCCATTGCATGGATCTGTGATGTATTTAATTTGTGGTATTTGGAATATTAGTTTGATTTGGGGATATGCATTCCTCTGGATTTGGGAGAAAATCACTAGAAAAAAAAACAATGAAAAAAATAGAAACTAACCGGATTGCCGCTGCCCCTAGGAGTCATCTTTAGTCCCGGATTCGTAGTGCCGGTTGGAAAACCAGAACTAAAAAGGGGTTCCCAACCAGGACTATAAAAGATTCTCCAGTAGTGTGTATATATAGGATATATATACGACCCCGTATATTGGCCATTGGAGTGCAAAGTCTGAAAGATCAGATATTGTTACGTGGTTGTGACCTGAGAAGTTTAAGCAAAATAGACAAAAGTCGATCTTGTGAGATCAGATGTACACGTGATGCTTTGAATGGCAAAAAGTTACTACCACATCTATATCTATCCCCGTCAACGCAGCCGTCATACCATAACTATCGATCGTCTACAACAGTCCAAGATGTGAGGCCTAAAATATTGACGAGCCGCAAGTACTGATTAGAGAAGCTGCACGAGATATATAGCAGAGGTTAAATAATTTGATCTCAACTGGCAATAACGAGATATAGACAACGGTAGGATGATATAGGCTTTTTACTTAATAACTAGGAAGAAAGCCTGCGCACATACGGGAAATTTATTTACTGTTTATAAAAAAAACTAAATGAAGCTTTGCCTCGCTATATTTACTATAAAGAATGCTCCCTCTGTCAAAAAAAAAAATACTCACTTCTATGTTTGAATCTGGTCATATGTATCCATATTCAAATTCAAAAGTGGGTTTTTTTGACGGGGGAGTAAACCATAAATGTTGACATACTAAATAATATGAATATCTATCATATCCAAACAAAAATCTTTTTGTTCTCACTCATCACCACTACTTACTATCATTGTCTTAAAATATGAAGGTCTTTTTAATTGATAGAATTATATATGTACCAAAAAATAAACCCAATGCATCATTAATACCAAAAAAGGTTCATCTCTACCTCATTCCAAATAACATGACTTACAGGTATCC